CTTCTGGATCACAACTAGCTCTCTGCACACTCACTTTTCCTGATCACAAATAGCTCTTGAAGAATTTTCTTTTTTGGTCTTAATGGCAAGAAAGGCACAGGAAGCTACATGAAAAAGCAAGCGAGAGAGAGAAACAAAACATAGCAGGAAACTGGAGAGAAAGACGTTGTCAACAGCGGCAATGAGCAAGCAATTGCGAAAGCCTAGAAAGGCCACAGGCCCAAAATGAACCAGCTCTGCATGGGGAGTGCCAAATGCTTCTAGCCTCCACTCGCACGCTGATAGACTGAGAAGATGGACGGATAGCCACACTGGACACATGCTGGCTGGGACAACCCAGCAGTCTCTGAAGACGGAGAACTGTGAAGGGCAAGCCAGTGTCACTCACCTTCATGACCCCGCGGGACATGCCAGGAAATGCCAACAGTCATCAGCTTATTAAGCAGTGGAATTCTACTTTCAGGAAGCAGAGGAGCAACATGCAATGAAGCCAAGAGCTGTAGCCAGTAGAATGGTGTATGTACAAGCAGCAGGTGACAGTTAACGTTATCGTGGGAGCTGTAACATGATATAGATTGCAAATGTTCGGTAATGAAAAAAAATCAGAGTGTTCTCATCTTTCACAAATGGCTAATTGAAATTTAAAGACAGCATGCTGTCATTAATATATTTTTCTAAGTCTAGATAAACTTATTGTATATGCTTTCACCTTCTATCCCACCCTTAAGAATAAAATAAAGAGCCCCTGTTTTTCTTAGTACAGGTATGACAATATTATACTTGTTATATGAACAATTCTTGGATTCCACTGTTGTATTTCCAATGAACTCTATGAAAAATTCTTTTACCTGTACGATAGATGGGAGTTTGTACTGCTAGTTCAAAATCTACTTTTTTGGATCTTAGAAACACATCAATTCCCACTTCTTCAGTAACAAAAGTCATTCGTTTTCCCATAATAAACACCGTAAATATTGGTCCATACTGAAATAAAATACACAAACACAGATAATGTTAGTAAATAGTTCTGCAAACTACTGTGGCATGGTTATATTTAAAATCCTCCTTTTCAGGAGTCACCAGGATAGATTCATAAACCCAACAACTCTTTGACTTACAAAAAGACATGCAAACTAAGTAAAAATAAGACACAAAGAACAACCTCCGATCCCAGAACATCAACTGCGGAGTTGGAGAAACAGAATGAGCAAGGATTAGGAGGTGAGTTAGAAGATGGCCAGTGGGGAAACTGCAGTTCACAAACCACCAGCAAAGAGAAGTTACCACACTGATGCACTAACTTACTAACTCATTGCCACTGAGTCTGCTCTAAGTCATAGTGACCCAGCAGGACAGGGTAGAACCGTCTCATGGGTTTCGGAGGCTGCAAATCTTTATGAGAGCAAAACGTCTATTTTTTTCTCTCTCCTGAAGAGTGCCTCATGGGTTCGAAGTGCTACTGCATGACCCCTTCACCACCAGAGTTCCTGCACAGACAGCATAGCACAGTGATTTGGGGATGGCATTGAACAATCACCCAGATTTAGGGACTCAGGGAAGCAAACGCAAAAAGAGCCCAGCTGGTGGCAGAGATTCCATGCAAACAAGCCAGGGAAGAAAGGAGCAGGCAGGCATGGGCAGGAAATAGTTAGAGATGGGACATTTGTGGGGGTGGATGGGGACAGGGTACTTGGAAGCCAGGGAACTACAGGGACGTGCCTCCTGAGTACAAAGTGGATTTGAGTTCTTGGAGTTACAAAGAAAGAGAAACATATAGACAGGGAGTGCATGATGGGGGAGACTCAGAGAGAGGAATAAGGAGTCTAGTAAGAGATCTACCCCTTTGGTGAGGGGGAGAGGGAGAAGAACTGGGACTTGGTACAGGGATTGCTTTTTAGTCGGGGGTCCCTGGCCGTTTATAAAAGTGAAAAGTCAATACCCAGCCTTGAGGTGCAGGAGGCCTGTACTGACACAACAAAGTTTGGGCACACCTTTCCTCCCTCCCAGAAGTGCAAGGAGCCTATGCCATTGACCTGGCCATGCCACTGCCCTTCCCTGAGGAACAGACTCTATGCAAACAAGAGCAGGCTCCACTTCAACCAGGACTCATCCCAGTTGTTCAGCTTTATGCCCCTTCTCCCTCTAACCCACACACCCCTCCCAGGGAAGTAAGACACTGCTCCCTGCCCATCCAAACTACAGCATACGTGCACAGAGTGTGTGCAAATGCCCACCCTTGGGAGAAGAAAAGAGTCCCAAACTCATACCAGGTATCTGGCAGGTACATATTCATATATACACCAATACTACATAATTATACCAAATAAAATTTAGAGAGGAAGGCAAACATGATAATAAAAAAGAAAGAGAAGAAGCTAATCTTCAGCTGTATTAAAACGAAAAGCATAAAAGTACAAAAAATCATAAATACAACATCAATAAAGAAATATATAAACAATTATAAAATTACTGCTGCAAAGACAGATTGCAACATGTAGATTGGTTGATTAACAATGATATGAAGAAATTAGACACAATGGCATAGGAAAATGTTCAAAATTAAAAGATAGAAATTGTTGATGAGGGAGAACTGATAATAGAACCTGAAAAAAATATTAAAAAGACTAATATTTAGGTTCCTCAAAGACATTGAGGAAATCACAGGAAAAAGCCCAAAATAGTTTGGGCAAACTGTAGAAGAACAAAATTATATATTCAATTAAAAAAATCACTTTAAAACCATTAGAATTCCAGAAGATTAATGGTAAAATATCAGAAACAGATAACTCAGTGGAAGGATACAGAAGTGTAATTGGATGAATAAGAAAAAGAATCAGCAAAATAGAGGACATATGCCTTGATTCAAATTTGTTTAAGGAACAACCAGAAAAAAGATAAACAAAATAAAGAAATCCTAAGTGTTATGTGAGATCAAGAGGAACAATTTACATGTAATAGGAATCCCAGCAGAGAAGGAAAAATACAGAAAGAAAATTTGAAGATATATTGGCCAAAATGTCCCAAATATATTGACAAAAGTGTCCCAAATGCCATAAAAGGTGTGAAGATTTCCACTCAGGAAGCTCTAAGAAGTCCATACAAGATAAACTCCAAAATAAATTCAAACAGGACATATCATAATCAAAATTCCCAAGACAAGTACATCAATTAATAATCAAAATGTATATATAATATATGAATCTAGGAAAATTTGCAGTTGTCAAAATTGAAATGAAATGCATAAAGATTGATATCCTATGCATTAGTGAGCTGAGATGGATTGATATTGGGCATTTTGAAAATCAAATGGTTTACTATGTTGGGAATGATAGATTCAAGAGGAAAGGTATTTCATTCATTATCAAAAAAAGACATTTCACAATCCATCTTGAAGTATGCCTATGATAGGATAATATTTATCCTCTGTGTTGGACCGGGTTGACTAGAGAAACAAATCCAGAGACACTCGTATGTGTTTAAGAAGAGCTTTATATCAAAGAGTAATTGTATATTAAAAAAAACAGCCCAGTCAGTCCAGATCAAGTCCATAAGTCTGATTAGCCCCTAATTCCCATACTAGTCTGTATATTCTTCAGACTCACACAGCACATGTAATGATGCAACATGCAGGAAGATCATAAGCCAGTGTGAGCAAAGGCGTGTGGATCCGGGGCGCTGGAAGCATCTCCAGGGCTCTGGCAGGTCTCAGCGTGGCTCCATGTGGCTTGTCAACCAGACGGGGAAAGCAGAGAGAAAGAGGAAGTTCCTAGAATCCTCATGAGAAGGCCACGCCCACAAGGAGGCATCATCAGGCTGTGACCTAATTGACAGGCTAGACTCCACCCCTACATTTATTTATTATGTTGACATGAAATTATGTAACTACCACATCCTCATACAACGAAGTCCTGGCAATACAATTATTATTCAAATTGATGTACCAATCTCTAAAAGTAATGATTAAGCACGCAAGATGACTGAGGGTGTTCTGGTAGGTGTGGGCTGCTGCCTCTCAATGGCCCGGTGGCGCAGGAAGCCACAAAATATCACTTGCTGGATGGGTGGGATGGCGAGTGGGGATGTGATGGGCAATAAGTGGTGTGTGCATACACACTGCTGCTCACTGGGTGGGAAGGGTCTCAGGAAGAGGGTGTGGTAGACAGGAGTGTATGGGGGCAACTAGTAGGGTAGATGCATCCACTGCTGCACACTGGGTGGGTGTAGCAGCCAACATGGGGTTTTACTGGTAACCAGGTCTCCAAGAAAACCCTGTCACTCGCTTTGTGGACAGGGTGGCAGGAGGAGTGTACAGCGGGAGGGAGGTGTGGCTCGCTTTTGTTCACTGGGTGGGCAAAGCAGGAGGGTGTTGAAGGTGACTGGGGTACGTGATCACTCTCTGCCCCTCATTGCGTGGGGGGAGTGAGTGACCATAGTATCCTGATCTTGGGTGTAATAAGGATGGGGATGTGGCAGGTGACTGGCAGGTGGCAGCACTCGCTGACACTGGCTGGGAGGGGTGCAATGAGGAGGAAACTACTTTCTAGATAGTAGACATTTGTTAGTTTGGGTGAGGGATAAGGAAATAGTGAATAAGTGAAGTCAGCACAAATGAACCACATTATAAATGATGACACTAAAAGCTACACAAGACTAAAAGACAATTGTTATGAAGCCCACAGTACATACACATTTTCAACAACCGGAACAACAAGACAAATGTGTGAGTGGTTACATAGGGAGAGATCTATGCTTATCCATAAGCACTTCTGGATATATAACACATGCATACACGTGCAGCTGTTTCTGTAGGCAAATATGTTCATATACTCATGTGTGTTGCATACATGAGTACAGGGAAGTTTCACACATTCATAGAAAAAATCCGTTATCCTTTCATTCCATTCTCCCATGATCATTTTGAAGCTCCCTTTACATTCATATGTAAAACAAATCGCACAGGGCACAGAAGTATGACTAGTTCCCAGATATAACCAAAGACCTCCTGGAAATGGGTTACTGAATTTGAGAGCTGAGGACCAGGGTCTTAGGAGGCAATGCAGTCAATTTACCACAACTCCGCTCACAAATTCATGTTTGACGTCGTAGTTTGGTGAGTGGCTTCTGTGGTCTTGGAAGTTAGTGAGTGGCCATCAAAGATACAACTATTATTCTCGATGTATCTGGAGCAAACGTGAAAGAAAACCAACGACTCGAAGAAGAAACTAGTCCACAGACTAATAGTCTACACAAGCCACAGCCTTACCGACCTCAAGATCAGAATAACTAGACATGCCCGGCTAGACTACCAACAGTTCCAAGCAGGGACACAACTGACCGTCCCGATAGAATGGGAGAACAGGGGAAAACATAACTTATGGTCCTAAAAATGGTAGGCTTTCTGGGCCAAGAGAGCCTGGAGAAGCCCTGAGACTATCTCCCTGGGATATCCTTTCAACATGGAACTCAAACCACTTCCAGTGACCACCTGTCAGCCAAAACGACAGGAGTGGCTCATAAAACAAGTACTATCATCCATGAATTCTGTGCTCCTCTAAACCATCATCTAAATGAGACCTATAGGTCAACGGTTACCCTAGACCAATGACAATACGGTCCTCCAGACAAGACAAAGAAACGAGATGAATGGAAATGGCACTACAAGGCTGGGGTATTGAAAATGCTGACACATTGTTAGAAGTGTGACCAAGGTCATTAAATCATAAATATAGAAATTGTTCAGCAAGAATCTAATTGACGATGTATATAATTTCAGAAACACAATAAAGGGTATTTTAAAAAAGAATACCAATGATGAAATTATAGTCCAGATCTTTTTAACTGATTCTGCTAAATGCCGCTGAAGATGCTCATTGAGATACCTTGATCTTTTCGGGTTACCGTCTACTAAACTTCAAGCACCTCCACATCACCAAGAGAGGCACTAATAATTGCTAGATCACCTAAAGCTAAATGATAGAAACCCTGATTTATTATGTCTTAGTATTTAATTTTGGTTTTAAAAAATTGTGCTGTCATACCGCCATTGTGGAAAGTGATGAGGTGCTTCCTGCAACAACAGGGAATAGAAGTATCATATGAGCCAGCAATACCACTGCCAGGTGTAACACCCCAAAGAAATAAGAGAAAGAACAAGAACAGATACTCTCCCATGTTCATTGCATCACAGTTCACAGTAGCAAGAAGCTGGAGACGGCCCCAATGCCCATAAGAATAGATGAAGAAACTCTGGTACATACACACAATGCATCCCTAAAATACAGTGGAGAAACCACGAAACATTTCATGACACGAATGGCTCCGGAAACCATTGTGCTGAGTGAACGTAGTCAATCACGAAAGGGTACATATCATATGAACCCACTATTATAAGGAGAGAAACCAAGACAAGGACAGTCTTCAGTTCCCAGGCCCTGTAATCCTCGAATCTGCTCCCCTAGGTGGAGAGGTAGTATGCCTACTTAGTTGCCATAAACCATGTATTATCCCCTTATTAGGTTATCTTAAAAATCACCTCAATAGAGTGCTGGTGGGTATTGGTTATGCTTTGGGCCGTGGTCCACAAGGTGAGCAGTTTGAAACCACCAGCTCGCTTCCCCGGAGAAAGATGGGGCTTTCTCCTCCCCTAAATACTCACAGTCTTGGAACCCCAGAGGGGCAGTTCTACCCTGTCTTATAGGGTTGCTATAGTTGTCATCACCACGGTGACAGTGAGTCAGTACAGATGGGATTAGTTTTACCATGTTATGGAGAGGAGAAGACCAATTAATCCCTGCCATATGGTCATCCCAAATCAACAGACAACCCCACATGAGCACGGTAATGAATGGACTTTACCGGAAAACTGGATAACAAGTAGGGGGAAGGGGAAATATGTCTGTAATGGAGAAAGCAATTACACTTCTGATGGTGGGTAAAACATTTAACATTACTTATAGAATCCCCAAAGGGAGAATACACCTAGCATTATGTTCCCAACTGGACACTTGATCTACTTTGCAACTAATCCCTGATGACCTGGGCAGCATCCTATAGACAGACAATTGGGACATGGAACTCTGTCCTTTTGAGGGGCACATCATCCTTCATAGACCACACGAGAAGGACCCAAATTGGAAATCCCACTGGGCAAACTAGACTCTGAATCATTATAGAACCAGAGAACTGAACTATTCCCTTAAGCTCTAGGCTGGAATACGCTGTTGGGAGAAGCAGGTGATCATGAAAAAGAGTGTCTTGAATCTTAAAGGCTTATCTAAAAATAAGCAGCTATCTAATTGAGGAGTCAGCTAAGTCCAAACAGAAGAAGCACACCATTATGCATGATTCAAGGATCATAAACAGTAAGATCCAAACCCAGAGGAGCAAATGGTACCAGTGGGTAAATTCTAAACATCCGGTTTGGGGGATGCTATGAATGATAGTGGGAGCCTGAAATCCCTTTGCAATGTCCTCAAATGGGTTGAGTCCCTGGGGAATCCCACTGCCCACAGACTAGGAATGTGACCAGCCCTAATGCCAAACAAAGAGCTCGGTAAAGAGATTCTTAGCAACTGTACTTAGACTGGAACATAACACCTACACAATAGATCTTCCTTTGGACCCACTTTCGACTTATCTTAAAATTTTAATATCGTTTGCTTTTTCTTAGATTGAAGTCCTTCACCATTGTATATGATCGTTGTTGCTAGGTCCTTTTTGTTTTGTTTGTTCCTGCCCTTGTTTCATGCTTTTCTATGTAGGGAATGCAGGGTTTATGAAGACAGTAACTGCAATAAGAATTACCGAGGGTCTGGGGGCATCAAAGGTGAGGGTGGGGAAAGGGGAAGTCAACATAATGGGTTCTGGAAAGAAGGAAATATTCCAAGTTGATTGAGGTGATGATTGCACAACCCTTCTCAATATGATGGAACACTTGAATTATATGATGTGTCAATTACAGCAAGATAAAACTAATATGAAAATGGAAACAGCAATAATTATTTGCACGATGCAATCCAATGTTCCTTTTAGTCCTGTTATCATTCATAGAATAATACATAATTGTACATCATTACATTTGAATATTATTTCCAGTAGGTTTGTAAGCCATAAACAGATCAGCTTTGCTCAAGAAAGATACAAAATTGTCAACTACTTTCATCTTGAATGTATGGCTACTCATCAATGTCTTGCAATTATCACTTCTCTACAGACTAATATTTCTTATGGATGAAGATCCCAAACTCCTCAACAAGATGTTATCAACCCAAATCCATCGACATCTTAAAAAGTGATTATATACCATGAACAAGTGAAATTCATTGCAGGACTGCAAGCCTGGTTCGATAGTAGAGAAGCAAAAATACAATACACTATATTAATAGAATAGAAAAGGCCACCCAATCATCTCAATTGACAATGAAAAACTTTTTAACAAAAATCGCAAATATTTTCCTGATAAACATACTAAACAAACTAGGAATAAAAGGGAAATTCTGCAATATGATAGAGGCCACTTATGAAACACCCACAAAGCATATCATACTCAATATAGACATATTAATGGGCTTTCACTTTAAGATCAAGAACAAGACTAGGAGGAGTACCCTTAGCACTGTTGTACTGGGAATCCTAGTGAGAATGATTAGGCAAGATAGGAAATGTATCCAAAGCAGGAAAAGAAAAGTAAAAGCTTACCTATTTTCAGGTCATGGGAGCAATTCTGTCCTGGTGGATTGCTTTGAATAGGAACCAACTCGATGGTAGTGAATTGAACATTACATATACAATCCTTCAATAATACTAATAATCATCTATGGGTGAATGCATAGACTATTCAAGCTATATAAGTTGGGAAGGGAAACGGAGCAACCAACCAAACACTTCCAGTTGCTATTGGACCTGGGGGCTTAGAATCATCATCTCAGGGCCACCACGGTCAATTGGCATAACATAATCCACAAAGACAATGTCTGATTTCCACTTTGGTGAGTGACCTGGGGTCTTAAAAGCTCATGAATGCAAGTATTGGTGTCTACCCATCTGAAGCCCATTCTTCAACCCCTGGAAAGACTGTGGCTATGTTTGAAGGACTTTCTCTGATTCCTTGTGAAAAACCTATTGTCTATACATCAAAAACCAAACTTACTGTCATCAAGCTGATTCCAAATTATGACTGGGCTCAGTGCTGGGTTTTTCATTCTATTTCATTAAGTGTATGTGTCTATCATTAAACCAATGCCAAGCTATACTGATTACACTGGGTGTGCTTTGTTATCAGGGAGTGTAAGACCTCCTGCTTTGTTCTTTTTCTTCAATATTGCTTTGACTATTCAGGATTTCTTTACACCCTATAGGCCTATGGTCTTTAGCTTTTTCATTTCAGTAAATATTTGTATTTGTATTACCTTGTATCTTCAGCTCATCATAAGGAAAATTGAAATGTTCACTATATATTAGGATTTCTGATTCATGAAACATCCCCAAATGAGAAGTCGCTCCACTTTAGTAAGTCTCCTTCAGTCTCCTGTAACTGTATTATATCTGTGCGGGGCTTATTTTTGGTGG